TGACCGGTGCGCAGTACTTCCACACCGGCATCGCCAACCAGGCCTATACCGCCTACGAGGCCGACTATGACGGCTCCAACCGGCTGCTCAGCTACACCTTCACCGGCGTCTCCGGGCAGGCCTATCATGCCTACGAGTACGACTATGCCGCCGGCTATGCGAGCGTCCTGCCGCATAACGGGCTGATCGGGCAGAAGTACTTCTTCTCCAACGTCCAGGGTCACGCCTACACGAACTACGAGCACGATCTCGATGCCCAGGGCCTGACGACGCGCCTCTACTACAGCGGCGTCAAGACCCAAGCCTATTCGTCCTACGAGGACGACTACATCATCAACAGCACCGGCAGCCACTTTGCGGGACAGAAGTATTATTTCACCGACATCGTGGGCCAGAACTACACCGGCCACGAGCAGGACCTCGACAACGCAGGCCACCTGATCAAGGACGTCTTCACGGGCGGCCAGATCACGGCCACGCAGGTCTACTCTTCATGGGAGAACGAGTATGCCAACGGCAACGGCGTCCTGACCGGGCAGAAGTATTACCAGTCGGACATCACCGGCCAGGATTATACCGGCTACGTCGTCGAACTCGACGGCTCGGGCAAGAAGATCGCGGAAACCTGGACCGGAGTCACCGGCCAGTCTTACTCGGCTTACGAATACGACTATGCCAACGGCGACGGTGCCGTGACCGGCATCACGCACTACTTCACCAACGTGCAGCATCAGGAGTATGCGAGCTACCAGCTCGACTATGCGGTGAGCGGCGCCACCTCGACCGAGTCGCAGGTAATTTACAACATGAACGACGGCAGCCACACGATCAAAGGCCTGTTGTCGACCCCGCAGACGCTCCACAGCATCTTCGACGACAGGATGACCGGCGGCAGCGGCGCCGACAGCTTCGTCTATGCACCGCTGTTCGGCACCTCGGTCATCACCGACTTCAATGCCGGGGCCGGTGACACGATCACGCTGCCGACCTCGGAGTTCGCGGATTACGCCTACGTCCAGGCTCACAGCAGCGTGGTCGGCGGTAACACCGTGATCGTCGGCAGCAAC